CATCATTAACCATATTGAACAATTGTAAAAATAATGTTATAACAAATGTGTTTGATCATTTCATTATTTGGTTAAATATAAAACAAATTAATTTACGTGGAAACATTGATTTATTTAATTTATTAACGAAAACAGTAAACATTGAATCAATTACTTTGCAGTATTACTATTTAACCGAATTATTCAAAAATAATATCGGTACTCATCAGTTTTTAATAGTAAAAACGTTAAAATTAAATTGTTTATCGTTATATTCTATCAAACATATCAAACATCTTTCTCGTTCATTCCCAAACGCAGAACATTTAACTGCTGGAGTCGCTTGTTTAGACGCGTTAAAGGTTTTATTCAAACGTTTCAAGCGTTTAACATATGCGAGTGTAAATATTACTGAAAGATTTAACGATTCTGCTGTTCAAATATGCTTAAGGGGACAACATTGTATTTTTGAAACTATAGTATCAGGAATTTGTTTCCCTTATAATGGAAATATAATAAGAATTTGGGGTGGTTAAAGAAGACATGAACCTTCATGTTAACATTACAAATGACATTGAAAAATATCCGCATGTTTAATCCGAAGGAGCTGTAGATCTTCTATGACTTTACTGCAACAAAGCATTTTTCCACTTTAGACGCCAAAATGAGTTCAGATCCCGTGGACGATCATCTGAAGGCGAAGCAAAGTTAAACAAGTTTCAGACTGTTGTGAAAATCTAATAAGAATCTTATAAGATACGTAAAATAAATAAATATCTTAGCTAAAGCATACAAAATTCTATCACAATGTTACTAAAGTCTTATCGAAAGGATGAGGAACATTAGATAAGAAAATTTTTATCTGTTTTAAAAAAAAGTTGATGTCTAAACAATAAAATCAACAGAGGCACTTCCATTATTAATCTTTCCTTTTCCTTTCGTTCCTGAATGTATCTTAGTAGTATCTCGTGAAAACGATCAAGCGTTTCTAATTGTCATTGAAAATCAATTGAGCTACGAATTACAATGTGGACAACTATGTGGAAATTAGTTCTAGTACAAAACAACAACAAACTTGTAATCTCAATACTGATATCAGCGTTACAGTTACAAACAACCAGGACTGTGATTTCCTGAATCATAGTTGCTATGCAGCATACAATTACGCATGGAATGAGTTTACCAACTTTTCTTTCTGCTTTCTTAGATTAATTATTTACTTATCAACCGGCGCAAATCAAACTCTGAATAATACTATGACAGATAGTAGTATAAGTAATGTGTCCTGTATGAATTCTTGTTGCTTTCTTCCCTTAGACCTCTAAAGAGATTTGCGACCGTCATTGTCTTAACTTTATTGGCAAACGATTTCCTTATTACCGTTATTCACATCAATGTTTGCAAAAATATCAAGTATATTCAAATCGATATTTATAATTAAAACCAATTATAATGAATACAAAATGTATACCGGTTCAACAAACACAATGGACACAACAAAATTTAAGACATAATTATTATTTTTGCATATTCCTCCCTCATTATTATCACAGTTACATGAATGGTGTAAGGAAGAAAAAATCACGATTCATGGTGCTTTAGTTGCCGCTACGCAATTTTCTGTCTTCATTGTTAATAACGAAAAACACTGTTTAACTTCTTGTACCACTCCTTTTTCCATTCGAACAAAACGTATCCAAGTCGAATGAACCGATAATAATCATACTGCTCATATGCCTTTATCACAGCAAATTGGTTTCTTTGCTGACGAGCGGATAGCTATCAGCTAATTAATCGACCAGAGTGATGATTCTTCGAGCATCCTTACCATCCCTTTATGCTTTTGACATCATACTGCGCATCCCTCTTCAGAATAACGACAACGAAGTAGCTCCAATCCAAAACGATTGGGATTCAGCTATTGCCATTTTGCTCTAGATCACATTTACTTTTTTGTGATTTGATTATCAATTTGTCGTATTGTTAGCAGACGGATCGACTTGTAGTGAAAAACAAGTTCACTCATCAGTTTCTAACTCTTGCTTTTCAGCAATCGACATTGATGACAAAGAAATTGGATATGTGTGTGCTCTGGAATAATGATAATATGTAGAAAATTATTTATCGACGCGTTTCTTGAGCTTTATTAAGATATCATCCTTCAGAACTGCATATACCAGGTGTGGCAACAGTTTAGCACATATCTCAGTTCGGACAAATGATGAAAGGCTGGTTTTTATTTCAAAAGATGCAGAATTTAATTCTCTATAAAATCTCCTCCTCAAAAAAGATGAAGTTCGTATGCAAAAGCATCAAGTTGCTCCAGAAAAAAGATGAACGTCTTGGGACTAAGCATCGAGGTTTCCTTTTATTTTGAGTGACCATTATCAGGTTGATCATTAGACAAGATTCTTGTTTTGTTTCTTGTCGGAATCCTTTGTTAGAAAAATGTGTTTGTAGTCTAATTTCGCCTCTAAGTTTGTTTATTAGCTGACTGGGCAAAAGTCAGACTAAGAGGAATTTTTCTTTGTAATTTCGATGCGAGTATGGACAATGGAAATAACGCTCTTTTTTTATGAACATTCCATGTTTATTTGTATGTCTTGTAAGCTTTTCATAGAAATTATCAACTTTCGTGTATGTTTAATATGGTTACGGGAATAGATGATTAATTTCACAGAGAGTTTTAGTGCCTGAAGACTATGATTATATTTTCTGTTTTTTCCTAATAAGAAAAGAAACAAAAACACTCATCTGTTATTTTTTCCTTTTTTGGTCTCGTACATAAAGTCAGTATTTTTTATTTTCTTTTTTGTCATCATCAATATGACTAACTGCATGTGAGACAAAGAACAGAAAGAATTAACATATATATTTACCAACTATAGTATAGAACCGAAGTAAAAGTAAAAACATAGAAAAACATGGCCACAGCAGCTCCATTACGTAATTTTCAATGGTATTGGAATTCATCGACTACTGCTAATGATGATCACTGGACAGCTTACGCTGGTATTGAAAATGGAATTATTGAAGAAGCGTTCCAGACTGGGAAGAGCGAAGTTGAAATTAGCTCCAATTATGTTATTAACTTTCGAAATCTGCTGCAATATAACAAGTTTAATGCAAGAAAACAACGTACAGTAAAACGCGACGATCTTTAAGTCTTATTGTCTAGATGAACATTGACCAAATATTGTAGTGATATGACAAAGAAAAACATCGAATCTTGTTGACAAAAATTTTCTGATTTATAATAAATAAAAAAATAAAAATCGTCCCAGTAAAACGAGGTTTTCGGAACGAAAGTCCAGTTATTTTGTTAGTACGAAGGCCCTGTAAAAAAAAGAGGGGTTTGGATAAAACACCACCGTAGCAACATGCTAGGTTACACTTCTCACGAGGAAACATATCCAGCTGTTCAATCGGTTTTTTAACGAAACCTGGGGAGTTATGGGTAACCGACTGTGCTGATTCCGAAAATCAACATGAGACGGGCCGCCAGATCTTCAAAGATCGATTTTCTGGAGAACCAGTTTTTCAGAAACTCTAAAAATTAATCAAAGCCCTTCTTAACGTGACATGGTTGTAACCCATAATTTTCTGATTAGAATGAGACATCTCCCAGCTCTACACAACCTTTTTTTCAAAGTTGCAAAATTTACAAGAAAAGCCCTAAATGTTCATTGTCGGCTCAAAGCTACAGAAATAAGAAGAAATTAATTTGAGACTTTTGTTCCAAATTCTATGACTTTGAAAGAAAGGTTGTATAGAGCTGGGAAATGTCTCATTTTGATCAGAAATTTACGGGCTACAACCATGCCTCGTTAAGAAGCGTTCTGATTAATTTTTAGAGTTGGTTTTGCTTGACTGGTTTTCCAGAAAATCGGCCTATGAAGGCCTGGCGACCTGTCTCATGTTGATTTTCGAATCATCACAGTCGATTATCTATAAATCGATTGAACGGGTGAATATGTTTCCTCGTCAGTCGGACAAATGTAAAATTCGACTACTTTTAAATAATATAAAAATTTTACACAAAACAAAAACGAACTTTTGTGTAATTTGGTACAAATACCCATAGTAGTTTTCTTACTTATATTATAATATATAATTTTAAAAAGGTTAACTTTTTAAAACAAATTTAAGAGTCTTATAAACAATCTTTGTCTTATTAAAATATTAAAGTAAAATATTTTTTATAGTATATTAGTGTTGCTCTATAGAGTTACGATTGCTGAGAGCAAAATTTTTATCCATCAGTAGAGAAAATAATAAAATAAAATACATTCATCAGATTCATTAAATCGAATTTTTTACTGGTTCTAACCTTCGAACGTTGTTCACAAACAACGTGAATTCATAGGTACTCGATTATTGTGCATCTAATGAACCCATGCTTGATGTCACTCTAATTTATTCGCTTCAAGGACTCAATGAACGAATCGATGGTTTAATCAAAAGTTGTCCATCTTTTCAATATTTCACTTTTCCTGATGCCGTTCCAAAATCAAAATTTGATTTTGTTTGTCAACGATTAACGCCGAAATGATTGTCTCTAAGTCTCTTATAGTCTGCAAATAAAGTTACTTCTAATAACGGCCAAGGTCCCACAACTTGTTAACATGATATCATTCATCCTTTGTCAAAATTGATGAACGTGAATTGAAGGAAAATTGGTCACAAATAGAAAAGCTAAAAAGATTACAATCATAGTCAATGGACTCAGTAAAGAAAAGAAAAATTTATAAGACTAAAAAATTGAGTTTTTTTAAGCTTTGAAGGAAAAAATAAAAAACTCATAACTTTTTGAAGAAAGGTCGTGGAGTGCTGGAAGTGATCTCATTTTGTAGCCCACACTTTCATCTACATTGGTTGCTTAATTCAAAATCCGAAATTTTTTCATAAAAGAGGGGCGTACCCTTAAACGAATTTATAGCAAAGTTTGCTCCGAATTCGTTTGGATGATGGGAGTTTTCATCATCTGTCAAATCACTATTAAAGGAAAAAAACACACGTTGTTATTGTACAAAACAAATATCGACTTTTTTATCAGGATCGGTATTAATCAAAGTAAATTTATTGGTGTCGTTATTGTCCCGAATCACTCTTGGAAATTTCTTTTCAAGATATTTAGTGGCTTTCGGATTGAAAAATTCATAAAATTCAACGAATCGTCGGTTTTTGTCCTCAAATGACAAGTTAACATAGGTCGATTCCTTTTGAAGAACTAGTTGTTTGAAAGCGACATTGTACAGTTCTAATGTTTTTTCTATCTCAAATGCTGTTGGTCGATGCTCTGGATCGTCGTCAGTACAGCGACTTATGAGATCCCAGAATACTGGACTTTGTTTGATCAAAAGTTTTTGTCTGGTGAGAGGGTGAAAACCATGTTTTGTATCGGTGAGTAAGGCATTCAGTGTCAATCCAAACGTGTGTATGTCTAGTTTTTGATCATAAACGGCTTTATTTCCTTTACCCTTATAGAATTCTAAAGACATAAATGACTGACAACCAATTTGTGTATGCTGATTATTTTGATCGACTGTTCTCGCAATTCCCATATCACCAATTTTTGCTATGAACTTATTGTTAACCAGAATATTATCCGGTCGTATGTCTCGGTGTATCATATTATGTTCATGAATTTTTCTCATTCCACTAGCGATGTTACAAGCCATGTCTAGTTTTCGACGAATCGATATTTCTTGGTCAGGTTTCCCAATTAACGATTGTAAACATGTAAGAGGATTTTGGGGATAAGAATCTCTAAACATTTTGACGCGGTAATACCATCCTGAATGGGTTCTATGCTTACAGGGTGGTCCGAAAAAAATAATAAATAAATAATAAAAAATACTTTAGATGGTACGACAGAAGGATCTGTTGTGACTTGCCTATACATGGCGTCTAACCATTGCCGACTTCTGGAAAACAATCTATGCACGGCCATCTTTTTGCGGCGGACAAATGAGATATCTATAAGGATTTAGCAATAATTCAATGTCATACCCCCTCTGCTTTATTTTCTGATCAGATATGTTTGAGTATATTTTACCAGAGCCAGAATATTAAAACTGAAATTCGATATATTTTTGCTCAGATCTATCCGACAATGTAGTTTATGGCTTTCTGAAAGATATGTGCGTAGTGTAGAGGTGCGCCCCAAACGTGGGTTGAAATGAAAAGATTATCGAGCTGTATGGTTAAGAAGTAGAGAATATGTACTGAACTTTAATGAGAGTGAACGATACAAAAAGAAGCAACCGTGGTCATTCTCTCGTTCTCTCATTTTTCTAAAAAATTCATTTATTTATGTCTACATAAACCAAGTGAACAATCTCGCGTTCAAAAACAAAAACGTTGTTACTGACCAATAAATTACAAGAACCCCTTTCTCAATGTAATCAAAATAATAAACTGAGCATCGTATAAGAACAGAAGAAGCCCTTAGTACTCTAGAAATATCACGTTGTATGCGAACGGTTGCAGAATTGGAAAGATCACCTGTCTTACACTTGTACATTTAGTTAAGCAGTTACTGCGCACAGGCAGATATCTGCAACCTAGTAACTTACTTACATCTGCTCCAACATATCGACGAAACGCAACAATTACACGTAAAACTCCGAAACTTATCTATCGGATGTTTTGAGAGTGCCTCTTCACTCTGCACTGAGAAGCAACCCCTTTCTGTATACAGTTTCACAGATAGTTTTTCAGATTACCACCCACCACCGATAAACTACCAACAAGACTCAAAGCAAGGTAACACTGTGGCCGTTGGTGAATAAGCAATTCGTGAACGTGCACGAAAAGAACAACACACACATCGCGTAATAACCGAATCAAAACAAAAATCAGCTTCATAAGAAGAACATGCTGAAAGCGATAATATACCACAAACATCACCATCTGCCACGACTACACTTGATCCTAAACTTGAAAAACGATTGGCTGCACGAAGACAATGTATTGAAGAACATACACCACCACTTCAAATACCACCATCTAGAGCTCCTGAAAGAGAACAATCTGAATTAGAAAAGAAACTTGCTGAAAGAAAATTACAAGTCGAAGGTGCTCCATGCGTCGACGTATTCTCAGGCAAAATGTCAACATCACAAAAATGTCAACCTGAAAAAACTCGTTTTGCTGTTTGTAAAAGCGCACGGATCCAGCTCGTGTGAAATGTTTCTCGACATTCCAAGAGCGTAACTTAAGCAACAAAAAGAGAAAATGGCAGATTTTTAAATTCACATATCAGTTCTGGCTACTCTTTTTTTGAAGAAACTATTTCGACGATGTTCCTACGGACGTGGGTTTCGGAAAACACGAAGGGCATACGCTTGTGAGCTGTTTCA